TCCCAGCATAAAGCATAGGTTGGACATAGCTTGGTAGCAGTGGGATGGTGCAAAGAGGCAGGGTGAAGGTGAAATAATAATAATAATGATGTTCTAAAAGCATAATCTGCTGTAAAATCCCTTTCAATTACAAGATAATCAGAGCAGATTGTGCTACATGCAAACACTAGCTCTTCAATAGCACCTTCCTCTTGGTTATCAACAACCACCACCAGCCATCACCTAAACATGAAGAAAAAAGCTCCCCAAGCTCTGCAAGGAGAGGGGGCTGCACCATCCTGGCCCACGGCTGCTGGAGGATTTGCCCTCTGCAGCTCAACCCCTGCCCCCAAATGCCATCTGGGTGGCTGAGAACACCTTGGTTTCTACCAGGATGGTGGCACAGCTGTGTCACGGTATCATCTGCCCAAGAGGAGATGCCAGAGGCTATGTTGGCTACCACAGAGATGTTGTTGGCTACCACAGAGATGTTGTCTTAAGCCTTAAGTCATGAGCCACACACCGTGTCTCTGTGCCAGGGGGTTAAGAGAGCCCAGCAGATGTCCAAGAGTTGCCTGAAGCTGGATGCACCAGAGGAGCTCTTTGCAGGGGTGTCTCACTCCCCCAAGCCTCAATGGGTTTCTCCTCTTGCATCCAAGGCCATGACAACCCCATGCTGTGATTTTTCAGCAGCTGGAGAACATTTTTTTTAAGGAGAGCCAATGCTCAGGGCCTGAGGCTGTGATGGTTGAACAGCTTGAGACAAGTACAAGCTCATCTCCTTTCAACACTGCCCATATAAAGAATATTTTATATTGCAACAGATAAGAAATTAGAGCCCCAGTTCTTTAATTCACAGGGCCTCCAGGGAGCTCGTGGGGTGGTGTTTGCATCTGCTAACACACACAGCAGATGTTTTCAAGGGAAAACTTGAAGTGAGGGTCCAGTGTAATTGGAAGCCAGTTTTACAGTTTTCCTCTGCCTGGGAGCAAAATGCTGTGGTGGCATCTGAGCGTAGCAGGAGGGGGAGCTCCTGTCTGTCTGCACAGAAACCTGCCCAGATTTCTTCCACTTATTTTTTTTCTAGAGCTTGATAAATATGTCAAGCTGAAGCCTTTGGAGGCTCTGATGGCCACAGGTCTTTGTTTGCCAGAATTTAGCCAGCTCACGCTAATGTAGGATTTAGTCCTTCCCTAACAGGTAAATGTTGGCAATGTTTGGCCAGCTTTGTGAACAGACAGAGAATATTCTGAATGAATTACCTACACGTGCTCCTCACCCCTAGCAAAGAGCCCCTTTAGAGTGTCTGACATGCTGATTCCCCACTCAGGCTTTGCACAGAGGAGAAGCTGGCACAAGAAAAGTGCAAAACGCTCCAGACCCCGTCTGCTCCTCCCATCCCTTGCAGGTCACTTTAATTGTCTTATTTCTAATTGAAGCTGCTGTGAGATCAGATTAAGCTCCTAACAGTGGGATCTGGGAGCTCCTTGTGCCTGCTTTGGACAAGAGCCTGCTCCCCAAAATACAGCCTTGCATCTGCCAGCGCACACTGCCCCTTCCTCCCAGTCAGACCTGACTGGGAATGGGAGGCTGGGTGGTGGTTTGGGCTTGCAGATCCCATTTCTAGGTTGGTTGCTGGTTGTGTCAGTGCTGTGCACACACACACCCACCAAAAAGAGAGCCCATGCTCTGCAGGACCTGCAGCAACCCAAAAGCTTCATGTCCTGAAGTGCTAAGGTTGTGTCCCCTCTGCCAGCATCCCCGCCAGCCAGCTGCCATGAAGTGTGTTTCCATCAGGGACTCTTCCTTCAGGCAGTCTTGTTCTTGAGGAGAGGTGGCTGGTGGCTGGACCTGCTCATGGAAAGGCTCCAGAGAGAGCCACGCACGTGCTCCTCCTGTCTCCCAGGAGGATGCTCTTCACCAAGGTGACACTGAGATCGCTGGCCACCCTGAGCATGTCCCACACGTACATGCTCAGACCACAAAGGCTCAAACTCCTCCTGTCAGCACGTCCCAGAGCAAAGGAGCTAAACAGCAGCTCCTGGACAGTAGGTAAACCCTGAGCTGGGCAAGGTTGATGCACACTCAGTGCCCCTGTGCAGCTCCAGCAAGACCAGGGGCTCCCCATAAACCTCATCCTGGAGCAAGCCAAGGCTATTCCCAGCTTTTCAGACTAGGGAAGGATCACTTGGTGTTATACCCACCCTTAAAGTTTATCCCAGACACACAGACCTAGTGATAAGCTACCAAGTGATAAGCACCAAGCTACCTCTGCAGCCCTCAACCCATGAAGCTGCAAAGCTCTGAGGTGCTGGAGGGGAACCAGCCCTCCCACCTTGCCAGGCTGGCCAGCTGAGGACCATCCTTCCTCACCCAAACTGGTTCTGCTATCCCAAACAAAATGAAGGAAGCCATCCTTCTCCCTGGCAAGTCTCCCTGCTGTCAAGGACAGAAACAAGGTGTCTGAAAGGCAAACTCTGCCAAAAGAGCCAGGGGAAGACCCATCCTGAGCCGTCACCGTGACACTTACTGGTTTTCACCTTGAGGGTGTAGGGGTTTTTCTGCTGAATGGTGTGGGTGAAGTGGAAGCGGGCGTTGCAGCTGTAGTCAGTCTGGGCATCCTGCAGGAGGACGTTGGAGAAGTACAGGTCCCCATTCTGGCCCTGGGAGACACGCTTGTCCTGGTGGATGGGCTCCATGGCTGCAGGGGAGGACAGACGTTCAGAGCAAGTCAGATCCTCCCGTGGGTGGCTGTGGGGAGGAGAAGCCCCGGGGCCAAGCCAGGTGGGGGTGGCTGCAAGCTCTGAACTGGCACGGAGGAGCCTAAATGTGGTTATTTTAAACAAGTACTGTGGTACTGGAAGGGCTGCCCCGGGGCTCAAGGTGGCAGCTCAAGTGGGGAGCTCAAAGGCTCCTCGTCTCAAGGTGGGGAGGGGGTTCCCCTGACTCACAGCTGCTCATCCAGAAGATGACAGGAGAGGGCAGGCCGGGTGGTGGGTTGCACTGCAGGCTGAGTGGAGCACCTTCATCCACCTCGATCACATCCACCTTCTCCTTGGGCCACAGGGGAGATTCTGTCACGAGAAGGAAAGACGCCACGTGAAGAAGGGAGGGTAGGAGCTTTGCAGATCTCTTCCCGATGGACCCGGCCTGGTTTCAATGGAACGGCCTGAATGCAAATTTCATTTCTACATCTGCAAGACTCCCATAAATCCATAGCAGGAAATCCCCTGATAGCTACAGCCATAACCCCAACGCCTTCCGCTCGGTCCTCTGGTCGGAGACATCCCACCACAGGCGAGGGGTGAAGCAGGCTGAGATGTCTGAGCACGTGCTGCTTCTGCAGAACCTCACAGGGTGCAAAGAGCAGCCTGGGGAGCGGGTGCTGTTACTCACTGGAGACCTGGAGGTGGATTTTGCTGGAGAGGGCAGTGCCGTAGTCGTTGCGGGCGAAGCACTGGTACTCCCCCTCATAGTCATCCGGCCGGCCCCCGCTGTGGAAGTCGATGACCAACGTCCCCGACCGTCGCCTCATGGACACCTTGGGGTCCTTTGCCACGTTGAAGAACTTCCCGTTCCGTGTCCAGGAGAAGCTGCAAGCACGGGAGGGAGGTTGGGTTTGTAACCGCGGCCGGTGTTTGCCCGCTGAGGTCCTTACCTGTGCTGTGCCAGCCAGCGGCTGGATTAGCTGGAGGTGGACGTGGACCAGAGGGCAGCTCCTCCAGAGCCAGCTCCAAGGAGCAGCAGAGCTCCAGGGTAACAAGGGACCTGTGGATGCACTTACGTGGGCACGGGGTTCCCTTTGGCTTCACATTCAATGAAGATGTTATCCCTCGGGTCGACGATGTAGTCCTTCACGGACTGCTTGGTGATTGTGGGGGGCTGAGGCACTGCAAAGCAAGCAAAAAGCTGTGAGGAGGGTTGTGCAAAGAGGGTGAATCCCTTCTCTGCCATCCCGCAGCAGATCCCGATGGGATCTCAGCTTCTTCCTCAGGCTGCACATGCAATTTGTGGTTTAAAGCCCTTCAACACCTTCAATACCATGAGCATTTTGTGGGTGTGCTACTCATGACCCCTTGGACCATCAGCACTGTTCAGACTCCCTTTTGGTACCAGGAAGCCCCAGTTTTGAGGTCAGTATCTTGGTCTCATTAAGAAATTTCACAGGTCATTTGAATCAGACTGAAAGGCATCCTGGCATCTCAAAGAGAGGGGCTGTGCCTGGGCCAGGGAGCCAAAAAGCCACTGCAGGAAGTGTACAGGAATTCCCTCTGTGAAGAGGAGCCTTCAAACCTCCCAGCTTTACCCCAGGGGAGCACAGCACTGGTGCTGGGAAGGGCAGAGCTGGCGATGCTGCAGACGTGTCAGTACCTGGAGCTGGGCACAGGCACTCATGCCAGGCAGAGGAGCTGCTCTGCTCCGAGGTGGGACCTCAGCAAGAACAAACCTCTGCAGAAACAACGTTTGCGTGGCAAAGACACCAGCTGGTTGGTAAACCTGCTCCAGGGAAAGCAGCAGAGCCCAAGCACTGCTCCCAAGCTGCTCCTCCCGTAGCCACGGCTGGCTATGCAGAAGTGGCTTGTCCCAGCTCTGGCCAGCCCTGAGTGGGTGATGCAGCCACCTCCACCCTGTGCCAAGCGACAGCCACCACCAGCCCCCTGCTCAGAGTGACCCCTGCTCAGGACAGACCCCTCGTGCCTGGTTTTGGCCATGCAGAGGAGATGGACACGGACACACGGAGGGTGAGGGGAACACTTACATTCACTCTGAATATTTGCTGTTATTCCCAAAGTGCAAGCATAATGGAAAAAAGGAGAAAGGTTAATTGAAGGACAAACCTCTCTACGTCAGGTACACAAACACACACAGTTATTGCAAGGCTTGCAAACCCTGCACAGAAATCGTTTTGTGATTCAAGTGGCTTCTAATCTACTACTTACTGTCCACGTGGGAGAAGCTGCTGCTGAGCGGTCCTGTCAGCTGCCAGCTGCCTCTGCAGCAGGGCTTGTCAGGCCAAAAGAGAGCACAGGGTGCCTGGATGGGCTTCAGTGCACTCATGACACTTTCCTGCAGGTTCTGGTGGCCCCAAGGTCGCCCACAGGAATAAGCAATGTTCCCCTTCCCCGTGGCCAGGCTTACCCTGAGCCCCTCCAGTTTCCTCTCTCTCAGCAGGAGGGCAACACATGCCTGACAAACCCTTAGCTGGCTTTTTAGGTGATGCTCAGACTCAGAGAAGGTGCCTGTAATATAGGGAGATACATAGACTGCATCCCCAGGAGAGGGGTAGGCAGGATTTTATCCAAGGGAAAAGACTTGTTAGGGCTGGGGCAGGGAGAAAGCACCTAAGCAGGCTTAAAAGAAAGAGCAAATAGTGCAGCTCCCCCTGATGCAGGGTGAGGGGATCCTGAGGCTCTGCCCACAAATCTGCCCTCTCCTGAGCTGCTTCTGCCCTCAAAACATAAGGTCTGGGGAGCCAACTCCCTCCCTGAGGAGATCTCTGACCCCTGAGGGGTGTCAGCAAGGGCAGCTGGGTGCCCACCAGCACCTCGACCCCCCAGGGGGGGTGGGGAGGTTCCCAGCACCCTCTTGCTGGTGGGCACTGGGCAAATGCCCCATCCCAGCCCTGGGTGAAATCTCCACAGCTGATCTCTGTGGAGCAGGAGGACTTTCAGAGCTGGTGGTGGGTAAGGGAGCCCTGATCACCCACTGCCTTAAACAGGAGCTGAAAGCAAATCCCTGATGGCTCCGAAGGTGGGGATGGAAGTAAAACAGAGCTGATGCTCCATGTGTCCAAAGGACCTAAGGGAGGTTGGGAAGGGTGGGGTGGTGGGGACAGGCATCAGCAAGGTCTCCAGCCCTCACCCAGGGCTGGGAGATGCTCCTCACCCACTGGCTCTTGGCTCTGGTGTGTGCAGCTGCCCCCATGCACCTTACAGATACCTGTCGTGCAAGGGACCCCTTCAGGAAAGGCTGCCAAAAGGATGCTCCTAGTTACAACCCCCTTTTCCCACCAGCACTGGAGGGGATGATGCTCTCCTGCTGTGCAGCAGGGAGGAGGAGGAGGCTACAGAAGCGATGAGCTGCTGAGACATGGTGAGCTGCTGCAGGCTGCCTTCAGCATTTCTCCACCAGCTGTCAGCATTTCTCTTGCTTTTCAAAGGTCACGTTACATTTAAGCAGCAAAATTACTCCTTCCCTTGATGCAGAGCACAAGAAATGGCAGGAGGTGGCTGTTTGCAGCCCATTCAGTTTTCCCCAAATGCATTTCCATGACGGCTGCCTCAATTCCTGGGATGTTATAGATGCCAACAAGGCCAGGCTTGAGGGAATCACTGAGCTGTGTGCATCCAATACAATTCCCAGAGCTGGGAACAAGAGTGCTGGGTGTGTCACAGTGCTGGCTTCAAGGAAACACTCATTTTCATCCACAACCATCCCAAATGGGGCAGAGCAGGGGCTCAAGTCTGGGACCCCTCCCTTATGCTTTCGAAGTATTTACTCCCCTGTGCACATCAGAGCTTTCCCACTCGTTCTCTCCCATCATTTCCAAACTCCAGCCCAAAGCCACTTGCTTTAAATTCTCCCTTCCCGTTTTGCTGCCCGGAGTCAGGGATCAGCTGAGGTGCCACAGCTCCAGCCAGCACACCCAGGACTCCACAGGGCAACAACCCACAGGGTAGAAATTTCTCCTCTCAAGAATAACCCTGGCACTTCAGCCTGAATTCAGAGCCCAGCCAAAAGCTGTGCTTTTTCTCCTAAAGCACTGCTCGCTGGAGGATTTCTGTGCATTGCACTGTTGGAAGAGATTCCCCTGCAGCGACAGGCTGATTATTATTAATAGCCACTACAGGAGGAAGCTGGGACACAAAGAAATTATGAAACTGGTTTCCAGAACAGTGGTTGAGCAGCTCTCAGTACAAACGCCCCTCTCAAGTGCATTCAAACAGGTCATGTGCTGGCCTGGAGATGCCCACTCAGCAGAAACATCAGCCCATGTCCCCCTTTCCTCCTCGCTCCATATCCCCCGGCTCTTGTGCTTCTGAATAAAACGAACTCCCAGCTCACAACTAACCAAAAAGTCCCATCAGAGAGGGAGATAAATTTCACATTTCTCTGCAGGACCTGCCTGGGTCCCTCCTGCACTCAAGGATTGAGGTGTCAGCTCATAGCTCATGACATCTCCCAGACAAGACCAGCAACAAGCTCAAGTCCTCCACAAAAGAGCCCCCCAAAGCCTGTCCATGTTCTGTAGGATCATCAGAAGTTCTGGGATGCTGCACTTAAATCAACAGGCTGAAGACTGGCCAGCTTGGCTCGGATGTTCTGTCCCCTTTTGATATGTGGTTTCAAGTCCTCTGCTCAGCTTTTGGGATAGATTGTCTAAATCAGAGAGGTTTAGGTGTCTTTCTAGAGGGCGTGTGGTTTAAAAAGTAAAATAGCCCCAAATAAACAACAGTAAAGAAAACTTTGGGCTGGCCCAGGAAAGTGTGGGCTGTGCACACCTTCACTCTACCTCCCCAACCATCTCAGCAGGAGTTTTTAGAGCCATAAACCAGAACTTACAATCCAGAGGGACTTCAATGGTGCTGACGAGGTGATGAAGGTAGAGAGCAAATGCTATTCCTGCGAGGGGGAGGTGGTGTCTTCCCGTGACCATTTTGGAGGCCTGAGCAGCGTTAGGACCTCAGTTGTGTCCCCTGAGGTGAGCAGACCAGCAGCACGTGCAGGTGGATCCTCAGCTGCAAAACAAACACAAACCCAGTGGTCACCAAGCCACTCCCAGCTCCACTGCCCTCGTCTTCCTTTTGGCAACTGTGGAGAGAGAGTGTTTCCAAGCCAAAAATATTTGTGCAGAGGCTGTGAATAGTGCCAGAAAGTGTTTCCAGGCTCTGGTGACCTAGGTCACTGTCCTCCCAAACCCAGGGTTGTTTTTCTGGTAGACGATCAGCCTTAGGGGGTTAATTGTGCTCAAAACCTGGAGAGACCTCTTGGATGGAAAGAGAAGGACCATGCTCTCCTCTGGACTGATGTTCCTCAGAGCAACTGAATAGAAAAACATTGGAAAGTGCCCACAGGATAAAATAAAAAGGATGATGTACTGTATAAAATAATAATAATAATAATTGTATTATATGCACTAGAAATATGTAGCAAACATCTGCTTCCATTGTACTGGGATGGGCTCAGCCTCCAGATGCAGCCCAGCAATAGCAGGGAACCAGCTCTGCAGAGCCCCTCGTGTCCCAGAGAGCCTGTCACTGACCCACCACAGCTCTGGCAGGAGTCAGGGCATGGTGAGACCTTTCCAAATGGTCTCTAAATGATCCCATTTCCAGCAGGGCTCCAGCTGCTTCCCTCCCCAGACTGTCACCAGTGCCAGATGTGCAGCATGCTGCCGGGCTCCCAAAGGACCCCTCCAAACCTCCTGTCAGGTTATCATTTGCATTTTCCACGGCCGTACCTTTTGTTTTCCTGTCAATACACCCATAGACTAAATGCAGATAAAAAAAAAAAGAGGGGAAAAGAGGATAAATTCTCCTGCCTGGGCAATAAAAGCCCCCTTGGAAGGGCTGCTGTGGTGCAGAGGTTGCACCACGGCCGAGCTACGACTCTGTAACAGTGATAAAAAGGTCCTGAGCTGTGCCGACAGCTCTCTGAGCTGAGAACAGAAAGAAGCAGTGGAAAATCCCCAGCCCTGCTCCACGCTGCTCTGCCCTGGCCCTCGCACAGCCCTTCGCCGAGGCGGGATGTCGCCAGGCAGGGGAGCGGCGTGGCGAGGCCATTTGGCAAGCCAGGAGAGCTCATCTCCATCAAAGATAAATCACCGGCTGCAGCTTCGGATGCTGCGACCCCTTCAGCTGTTCCTGAGCCCCACATGAAGCCCTCACAGGAGGGAGGAGGGGGACACACGACAGACAAAACCCGGCGAGCGCGGGGCTGCCGTGTGCCGGGGGCTCCGGGTACCGCGGGGAATGCTGGCGGGAGCCAGGGAGGAGCAGATGTCACGGGAAATAAACAGCCTGGACACATGGCCCAGGGAGCTCTCCTGAACCCGAGAGGCTCAAACCCAGCACCAGATAACTTTTAGAGACATTTTGCCCCGTTACCCCTACGGGGAATGAGATGGGCTTAATGGTTTCTCCCCCCAGCCCTCCCCGCTGCGCGGCTCGGGTGTGATCCGAGTCTCCGGGTCCTTGCTCTTGGGCTGAAGCCCAAAGGAACTCACTGTCCCAGCATGTCCCAGTTACACCAGATGACAGATTGTAGGTTGTGAAGGGGCTTGGAGGGGAGTGTTGCTTTGATCTTTTTCGCTCGTTCTAAGGATTTTCCAATCCAGCTGTTGCCATAAAAATAGTTGAAGGACAGAATAATTATAGGACTGGGCCAGTAATTAAAGTCATGTCCAGGACCTCCACAGTCCTGTGATCAGGTCGTGCTGAACAAAGCTTTTCAAATGACTTCTTTAGTTTTCTGTCTGAGGGAAGACATCATTTTGATCTGTAGCCTTCATGTTTTAAAACGGTTCATTTCTCCAGTTACAGCTTAAAAATGAGTAATGGATCAGCTGCTTTTGTGTCTCGCTGTTACTAAGCACAAGTCTGACTTAGGAACTGAATCAGCCCATACTGCAGTGAGAGATTTAGGTACTTCCCTTCACATCCCTGCCACAAAATGCTCTACAGGACCTTCATTCAGAGATGCAGGATGGGAGGGAGGTGCAGGGCAGCAGGAGTTTGAACAACTCACATCTCCCCATGCTGCCCGGAGCCTGGAGCCTGAGGAAAATGTTTTCTTTACACTAGGAGCTGGTTAGTGTGAAAGAAATGGCTGTGACACAAAGGAGGTTCCTGCCACAGATGCTTGGGAGAGATTTGTAGTTACCTGCACTCTGCATTAAACACAGAATTAGATACAGAAAGGGCTGAGCCCAAGCACTGATATGTACAGGACACACAGGAGGCATCTATGCAGAACAATACATCCAGCTCATCATTACATGGGCTGGGACTGTAAAATTAAGGGCTGTGCACATCAGGAAGAGAAAAATTTGCAGCTAACTTTTGAGCTGCAGAAGGGAGCAGCAGGGACAGGGGTCTGGGGGCTGAAAGGATGGGCACAGCTCCATGGGAAGGACCCGGCTGCTTCCAGTGCCGGTGGCCAGGCCAGGGAGGATGGTCCCCATGGCCACACATCCACACCGAGAGGCACTGACAGAGAGCAAATAATAAACCCCAGGACAGAGCAGACACCAAATGCGTGAGGCAGAGCTGGGCTCTTGCAGGGCCCCTTTGTCTCGGGGCAGATGTGGGTGCAGCTCGCCGCTGAGGAACGAGCTGCCGCCGTGCCTGTGCGTGTAGGTGGGTCCCGGGGACAGGCAGTGCCGTGCAGAACACAGCCCCATTGTCAGGGCTGCTCCTCACCCGGGGACAGGGACATCTCCCCAGCACACAGGGCTGAGCTGGGGCAGGGCCATGAACGTGCTTATCGGGGCACGGCGAGAGTCGTGAATCTGCCCGATGCTTTCAGCTGCTTCTGAGACGGACTCGACCCCAAATTGCTCATGCAAAGGGGCAGATGAGACCTCCTGCACCCAGATTTAGCATTTCTGAATCCTTGCTCCTGACCCCATTGTGCAACACAGAAAAGATCTGACTCCTGTCCAAAGAGTGGAACCAGCCCTTTAACCTCATATCTGCAGCTGCCTAAGGGGATGGTCAGAGCCGTGGAGGTGGGAGGGTCGAGTCTGGGATGCTCAGGAAGCCTCTGAGCTGGCTGGATGCAAAACTGAACTGAAATCTTGGCCCATAATGTTCAGTAAAACAGGACAAAATCGCACACAGACACCTACAAGATTGTGATGCCATGAAACAGGAGTTTAACTGCTTAAATGCATTGCTCCTCCTGCATCGAGCCTGCGCCTGAGCACCCACAAAATTCCTTCTCCACTTTCCTCCAGATAAAGGCAAGAGAGCAGTGAGACAGATGCCTTTTTCCCCAAATACTTACCCAGGGTTCAGGGATGTTTTTCAGACTTGGAGCTTTTTATTTCCCCCATGACCTATTGGAACATCAGTTCTTACAAACTGTTAGTCTGGCTTATGAAATACATCCCAGATGTTGGCCCAGACCTCCCTCTAGATGCATCAGATACTTTTGTAAACATGTTTTCCTCTGGACAAAACCATGAGCAACCCCAGGACCAGACCTTTCAAACTAGAGACTGCTCCTCTTGGCAAAATCCAACCAAATATTCACCCAGCATCTGAAATCAAGAGGTGGACATGCAGCCTGAACTCTGCTCAGTTCAGAGCCTCCCTCCTCAATCTGAACATGCACTGGAGGGAAAAAATTAAATGCAAGAAAGATAAAAAAAGAGATGATGGAAACATCCATGATGGGATGATCAGTCCCAGGGCTGAACACACAGATCCTGGAACAGCAGCAGTGCCTTCCCTAGCTGAGAGCTGAGCCACCAGGAGGGGAACTAGTGGGTTTGGAGAAGGATTTGTGCTTTCTACAGAAAAAAAAAATAGCCACAGTTTTTCTTTTTGTGCAGCAGTCAGGACAAATCAGCTTGAAAGAGAAAGAAGTTTCCAGAAGGGAACATCTTGCTGTGCATAGGACAGCCTGTGTTACAAAACAGAAGGGCAGGGGACCGTATCCTGGCATCATGGGGTTTCTGTTCTATTTTAAAGGCAGAGAGTGATTTTGAGACGTTGTCAAATGCTTTCCAAAGAAATCTGGATTTTCAAATGATAACATGGCAGCTGAGCAGCTGCCCCAAGGGTTGGTGGAGTCAAGAGGAGGTATGATGAGTCAAGGGGTACTGGATGTTCGTGGAGCCTGGCAGAGCTCACCCCAGTCCCAGAGAGCCCTGTGCCCCCCAGAAGGGACAAACCCCCCGAAGATATCCCCTCCAAGAGGTGCTGACAACCACGTCACCCACCAGCTTGAAAGTGCCTTGGCTGTCCCAGCAGCCACGGGGTGAATGGGATGCCACTGAAACAAGACCTGCCCCCTGTGCTGCCACAGGGTGGTTGCCCTGCTCTGCAACCTCACACACCAATAATTCAAACAGGAGACACACCCCAGCACTTTGCAAGCCACTCAAAATCTGCAGGGAAGGGGGAAAAAATAAAAATCAGCTTTTAAAACTCCTTCAGGTCGTCTCCTAAGAGCCTGGGGAGTGCTGTGGATGGTGCCACCAGAGAAAGGTTTCTCTGCAGGCATTGCCTCCTCTCTTCACAGCTCCTCCAAGGCGGCGCAGCGGGATGTGGTGCCAGCCTGGCAGAGCTGCAAACCTTCCCAGCCACGGAGGAGAAACTTTGAATCTCTCTTTCTCCACGCACACGTCGATTGAACATGCACATTGCTTCCTCCCTGCCTTGTGATGGGGGAAGTCTCTCCTCTCCCAGATGGTGGAGAGCTGCACTAGCGAATCCTCACATCCCAGCCCCAGAGCCTCCCCCCGGCCAGCGAGCCAGGGCTCCCATCTGCTCAGCACCAACAAGTTTCCCTCTGGCTTTGCTTGGCACAGCCCAGAGAGGTGGGAGGGGGCAGTTTGCCCATCGCAGGCTCCCTAAACCAGCAGAAAGTTGCCAACGTGCTTCCCTCATTAGCAGAACATGAGCCACACGCCACGGAATCCACTGGCTG